ATAAGTCATTATAATCCATAATTATGTCCCCACTGGATGCAACGAATGCTTCGTTTATAATGGGTTTTCATGTTTTTGAATCATCGCTCCGGCCTGACAGGGAATACCTGAGGTATTCGGCCAATCATAACGCATTGGATAGCTGGCCAATCACAGCACACCTTGCTTTTCAGACCGATGAGCTTTGTAAAAATCGACGCGTTTCAGAAAGGCGGGGCATAGAGGAGAAACAATAATGTACAGTATGTGGAAAATAATGTGTTTTTTGAACCTTAAACCGCATAAACACATTTCATTACACCAAATACACAAAATAATGTTCTTTTTAGCAGCATCATATGACCCCTTTAATAAATATCTAATGGCAGTGCCTAGGCGAAATGACCCAACAGGCTGAACCCAGCATTTTTTAAAAAGTGTATATTTGGCAATTAATAATTTTAAAAGACTATTGCTGTTATGGATTCCTGTGCCATATATCACTTCAAAATTATGGCTTGGGTACATAGTTTATTATTTATTCATTATTTATTTATTTATTTTTATCACGGAATAGCCCTACAAACATACATCTCACAGCTGAGGTTGATTCATTGTCTCCACCAGTCTAACAAACCTTCACAAAATACTGAATGTTTGTAAGCTTTTCCAAATTATAAAATGCCTTTTTCTTTAGTTGTATCAGAACTAGAAACAACTCCTTTGCGATTGATTCACTGCTTTTCTACTTTCCTATTGATTGCCTTTATATGGAACCCCATAAGCTTGAAAATGAAAGTAAAAGATTTATTTGCTAAAATTATTTTCAATATTATATTGACACTTGACTTTAAACCCCCTGTAATTCAAGGGGAAAAGCCTTGTGGAACTGTTCCTGAAGGGAAAAAACACTTCTGCTTTTAACAGTATAGGAAAAGAGCCACTTGCTTTGTGATTCACTGTGTTCGCTGCTTATTAGTGATTCAAAATGAGTTAGTGAGTTTTCCGGCATGGCCGTGGAAAGTGTATGACTGAGAACTTCACATCTGTGTTCACCTCCTATGGCCATGGAAGAAGCCTGTGTAGACATTTCAGTCGATGCGTGCCAGAGGTGGATCAGGATTTTACCCCAGGGCCAAAATAGCTTGTGATGTTGAAGATTCTCTGGGCTGTCCCAAGACGGGATGCTGGGGCAGAATACATTATTTGTTGTTGTTTGGTTGTATTGGACTGTACAGTACATTAAGTAATAACAAATGTTCAAATGTATACATTTGTTGTGTTCATCATGTGAAAATATTTTTGAGGGGGAGAACCACAAGCAATATAACTTAAAAAACTACCGTTTTTGTAGTATTGTTTTGAATTGATCTCGATTAGACTTCATTTTGATTCAAAAATAGGAAGTTTGGGGAATTGGGTGAGAATTATAGAGTTTTGAGAAAAGGAGGCAGAGTTTTAAAAATGTGTTTAAGCAATCAAGAAAAGCTGTAATTAACTCATTTGCACTCAGTTTTATTATGTCACATGAAATTAAATTTGTAAATGCTAAAGTTTAATCCACTTGTTGTGGGACAACAGTAATCATTTTTGTTGCATCGACTGAAACCAGGCCGTTTTTATTAGTAGAGGGAAAGACTTGTTAGTATTTAATGCTTTTATGTTTGTTGGACTTTTTGTGGTTACCATTGTGAGCATAGTGTTTGTGGTTATACCTAACATAAGTGCAAACTATGATATATGTTGCTGTCAATGAGTAATAACTGTGATAATGCCAGTAACAAGTAATTTCTCACTTATTCATTAAGTACTAAAAATTGCATTTCACGATTCTGTTATTAATGCACCCAATAATGATGTTTACACATCACTGTTATATTATGTTTTATTTGTTATACTTAATGCTCTTCAGCAAATACATCAGAAACATACATTTTTACCACGTATATGAAACCCTCGGCAGTCAGTTCTCAGTATGTTGGACATGTCTGTATACTGTTCTCAGATCAGTACTGTTGGACTGAGTTTTGATTGAATAACTTGTAGATCTGTGCTGACTCGAGCAGCGAACTGTTTCAGATGTTTTAGTTCGATTTGGTGAACTGGTTCATCCATGTCTATGGTGGTTACAGCCCTGCGTTGAATTAAGATGCATTTTACTCATCAGTACAATTCACCTAGTTTAATTTCAAATAAATCTTTTCATCTGTGTAGAACCACACAAAGCCTCACAGAAAGATAAGCCAAAACACTAAACTTTATCACTAAACTAAAGTGACAGGACCCTGACACTCAGCCACATTGCAAACTGCCAAATAATGAGTTTAAATACACTGAACAAAATTATAAATGCAACACTTTTGTTTTTGCCCCCATTTTTCATGAGCTGAACTCAAAGATCTAAGACTTTTTCTATGTACACAAAAGGCCTATTTCTCTCAAATATTGTTCGCAAAAACAAAAGTGTTGAGTTTATAATTTTGTTCAGTGTATTTAGATAAAATGTGCAAAGAAAATTGTGTTAGTATTGCATTAATGCAAACAGGAAATTAACTGACGCAGGCAGAAATAACATGTATAAATATAGATATTATGTGTGAAAGCAAGTGTGTGTCAGCACCTCCACAGACTAAGAAGGGGTGCTTACTTTAATGTGAGAGAAGAGCGCTCAAGCATCTCGACGAGCAGCAGGAAGGGGAAACCAGCGCTGATACACTGGACACATTCTATAAGAGACACGCAGACGGAGGATAGGGTAAGCTTTATCTGTAATTAAGTGAACTGTTCAAAACCAGGGTTATAATCGTTAACTGAAACTATCAAAAACATTTATTTTAATTAAAAAAAGTCAAATAAAATAAAAACTATAAGTTGAAATTTTGCTTTGTCATTACATAAAAATAAATTAAACTTAAAAGAGTAATATTTAAAAAGAGCAAAAACTAATAAAAATGACAAAAGCACACACAATTATTTAAAAAATAAAATAAAATTACAACTGAAAATACAAAAATAAATACTAAAAACTATATTAGTATAAAAATAAAATAATTCTTTTCCAGGCAATACATGAATGCAGGCCTTTTCTATTTTCCTTTTTTAGTGGCATACAAATTAGGTTTTCATCTCATATTTACTACAGGCTATTCAACACAGAACCAGAAGAATATTTTGATCAACATGATATAAGCAATTGATAACATAGGAGACAGGACAAAGGCACTGGCAATTTGTTAAAAAAAAAATGAGAAATTGCTTATATGATGTGCACAAGAGATGGTATGGAAGTTGAAGTCACTTTGATCTGACAAATGTACCAACGCATCTGAGAAAAACCTGTAAAACATTAAACCAACAACATGGTGACGCAACCATAAGAGCAACTTAACTCTGATTATATATATAATTAAATGAACAATGTGAAATATGGAAATACACTGCTGTGATCAACACTTGATTGTGGGTGTCCATCAAGAATTGTGAGGTATTTTATCTTTTTGATGTTGTTGTTGTAATTTAAAGCCATAGAAAGTCTTGAAATGGCTTGAACAATCTAATTCTTTATTTTTATTTTATTATTATTATTATTTGTAATTATTTTTATTCTTTTAATTTTAGCTGTCAAAAATGTAACTAACTAACTAAATAAATAAATAACATTTGACCATTGTTTCATGCAATTCTCGTGTTGCCTCTGTACTGTATTTACAGCTCTTTGTAAATGCAGATTTGTACTAATGCATTGTTTTATTTTGTGCTAACCTCAGGCAATGAAGAAGATGGGAGTTCCTGGAAAAATTCTCTGTGTCTTGATGCTGCTGTGAGTATAAAATACTGAATTATTGTATTATTATATTCTAAATTGGGTAGGTTATTGGGGTTTGGTTCATTAAGAAAGAAAACTACAACAAATTGAATGTTATTTATTTATATTTATATTGAATACTGATCAAGAGCTGAATAAAGAATTTAATATAAAGCTATTTTTGTAACAGTTCTCATGTGTGTCCTTGTGCTTTCAATATTTTGTGAGTTCTTTTGGGCAGGGTGATGATATTATGATGTCCTTACCTGCTCTTGCACAGCTGAGGCTCACTCCATGTGCACACTTCCCTGCGTAGAGGAAATGTTGTAAAAAGTATTAGGACTGCACAAAAAATATCATTGTGCAATGAATGACTAATTCTGACTAATGTCAGAATTTCTGCCTGCTTTCTTCACTGACGTGTATTTAATAGTAGCCTGAATACTTTTAGATTAAGTTATTTCCCTTTGCATTTATTAATTTGACATTTATCCAAAGCAACTTACAGTGCATTCAAGCAATACATTTTTGTTGACCTGATATTCTGATTCTGTTCCACAGACTGCACAGCAGTATTCAGCAACAAGTCTTTAATGATGAGGAAACACTCCATCTCCCTGCAAACTATACAATTGGCTGGATGGAAACTCTGGATGATGAAAAGTTAATTTCTGACATCACTCTTCCTGGTACCCATGAGAGCTTGGCCCTTCATGGAGGATTCATAGCAAAATGTCAGGCTTGGTCTCTAGAGGATCAGCTAAAGGCCGGGATACGCTTCTTTGACTTCAGAGTATTTCCACTTGGGAAAAATTTGCTAATTATGCATGGACCAATTTACCAATATGCAACTTTAAAAAATGCTCTCGAGACAATTAAGACATTTTTATCTAAATATAAATCTGAAACAGTGTTGGTCAGAGTTAAGCCTGTTCTTTTTTTAAAGAACAAAGTTCCACTTTTAGTTGAAAATATGGCTAAAAATTACCCTGACTGCTGGACTGAAGAAACAATACCAAACATTGGTCAAGTAAGAGGAAAGATTGTATTTGTTCAGAAAAATGCCATTCGGCTGGGTATCCGTCTATATGAAACTGATAAACATAATGACTATATAGTGACTAATGTTGAAAAAAAAAAAGAAACAATTATTAAGCATCTGAATGACACTACATATGAACAGTATAGAGCTGGTTGTGTTGTTTTGAACTATTCAAGTGGCACAGGCATACCTAGATTGAGTCTAGATATAAACCCCAAAAGCTTGGCAAAGCAAATCAACCCTTGGCTGTATAAACATCTCGATAATGAATCAAAGAAAACCAATCCCAAGCCTTGTTTTGGGGTGATAGCCATGGACTTTCCAGGCTTGGATTTGATTAAAAAGGTCACTGAATTCAATTAGTAGATGTTTCAGACTGTAATTATCAAATTAATATGCTGAGCTTCTGACTAATTCTGTTTTTTATATATTTTTTTTATTTAGTTATTTGAAAATCAAGCATGATGTGCAACTGACCTGAGCTTCTTGAGATGCTCTGTTCATGTTTACGATATAAAAGACACCACTGCTGGTCCTGCATGCTAGACAATAAGATAAACATAAAAAAATATCACAGTTATTCGTTTTGCCTGTCTCTCATTTTTAAATGATGTTATACCATCTAATCATCAAGCTACATTTTTATTCTTGCCTTTTCCTTTAAATAAATTACTTAACTGGCATCACTGGCTTTCCTGATTTTATTTTTTTTTACACTATACATCTTCAGACACACTGTGTAGAATAGACTTTTTTATTTGTATTATTTATTTACTATTATACTTAATATCATAAGCTTACTGTTATACTTACTTATATTGATATTTTGAATTTGCTTTATTTTAGTGTTTTTATAGGCCTACTACTAATAAGATTTAATTAATTTTTATTTCAGTTATAGTTAAATTCCCCCCCCCCCCCTTAAAGCTATTTACTTTTTTCCGTTTTTTAAGGGACATGAAAATCAATTAACTTCCCTAATTAAGATAAGGGCCAAAAAATACAATAAAATAAAACGATAAAAACAATATACAAAAAGTAAGGGATATAAATTATGTCTGATTTATTTGCATGATTTCACCACCAGGTAGCTTGTATCACCATAGATATGTATAAAATACATATCTATGTGTATCGCATACAAGTCAGCTGCTGTCAAAAAATGCGTAAAAGCAGAACAGAGCCACCAGATAATAACAGCTTAATAAATTAAAATGCATAATAAATGAAAGTGCCAATGTTGCCACAAAAAAAGCTTGAGCTAAAGTACTCAAAAGCAGACTAAGTGTCTAAAGATCGTTTGAAATTCATATAATTTTATTATATGATTTTTATTTTTTTAATATTATTATTAGTTTCAGGTGTAAGGTTTATTGTTGCCGATATTGTGCATTTAATGACCACTTCTGTTTAAGCAAGAAGAATTTCTGTTTGACAATGTCAGGAAAACAGCTCCGCCTTATTACGGGAAAATGTTTTTTTGTTGTTGTTTTTTTATAAACAGTTCATTGTAAAGAACCGGTTCACAAAATCGATTCAGTGATTCCTTTGCGTCATCGCGCAATGCGTCACACAATGTCCGTGACATCCAGCATTGTATCATTTGTATTCACATTGCTAAAATTAATGTATATCTCTTGGCTGAAAAGGTTTTTGTTTGTATTAGAGGTAATATATAGGAATTCGTGTTATTAGGCAGACTGTGTGAAGGATGCTGTTTAAGATTCAGTGAGTCACTTTTGTGAGAACCGCTCGAAATGATTCAGTCTGATTCATAAATGATTCTTTCAGAAGATTCTTTGAAAATGTCCGAATGAAAAAAAGAACGAACTGACGTCGCTGTTTTTTTGGGCCTGTAGTTTATCAGAACTGATCGTTCTTTTCTCTGCTTCTGAAATGTTGACATTCTCCTGAAATCTAGTGACTGCACTCTGGACTGTTACTCACAGGGTACGTCTGAGTTGTTTCTTATTAAGAGCTTTCTGAAATATGCAATACTGCAAAAATATAAATTCAGCGTCACAGGAATTAGATGTTTCGTTTTCTTTCTATTTTGGTCGAAAGGTAAACTTCCGTCATCCATACCCTGTCAATTATCAAAGTTATTCTAGAATGTTTGAGAAAGAATTCTATTAAGATTAGCTTTAGGCCAAATTGTCACATTTGAATTCATTGCATTACCCAAATTCTTCTTGTCTCTAGCAGGTTGTCACATGTGCTTTTAATTTTGCAACTGAATATAGTTTCAGTGTCAGTAAATAGCATTGTGGCTCTTTATCCTTAAAGGCTTACTACATGCCCGCTATGTCATTATTTGTTAATTGAGCTGTATCTTATTGTCCTTATAAGCAGTGTTGGGGAAAGTTACTTTTAAAAGTAATGCATTACAATATTGCGTTACTCCATACAAAAGTAACTAATTACGGTACTTAGTTACTTTTTATGGAAAGTAATGCATTACGTTACTTTTGCGTTACTCGCGTTACTTGTAATGCGTTACCCCCAACACTGCTTATAAGGCAATAGCAGTGTCAAGGCTTTTAGTGAACAAGCTTTTTTGTTTCTTCTCTAAAGCTTGATTTGAAATCTTGATGTATTTATACCAGTTGTGATGCACTAGAATGGTAATTTACTTGTCTTTACACAGGACGTTTGGTCTTCATCACCTGTTGAAAGGCTGAAGTCTGCAGCATGTCTCTGACAGTGTCTCAAGGTGAGGGTTTGACGGTCATCACCATCGCCTCAGACCCAAAGAGCAAATGGCCCGTACTGTGTCAGGTTTTGAGTTTTCTCTGCTGCAGTCCGGTGTGTTCTGTGTCTCAGAATATGAAAAAGAAGCTGACGAACATCCACACTGCTCTTGGGGTGAATTAAACAAATGTCTTTTCAATACAAGACTTTCATTACAAGACTTCTGTCATTTTAAGTTGCTTTTTCATTTGTGAGGTGTATGTACAAAAATCTTGTTTTGTTTTTTTATGCCGTAGACTATGCAGATAATAGTTGGAGTCATCAGTATTGTGTTTGGGATTTTGCTTAAAAGCTCTAGGATATGGAATAACATTACAGAATTTGGGTTGTTTTCTGGATCGGTGGAGTGGTAAGAATTTGTCTTATTCTGCTTATTTTTATTTTTCCAAACCAGTACATGTGTAATGAGTGAGTCTATATATAAAATGTATCCATAACAAAATTGAGAGGATGAGAAGGGAGAAATCTACTGTAAAATGCATGTGCAAATTTTCATGTTTATATTCATAGTGGTTCATTTAATTACTCAAAAAAAGTTTGCTTACACCTTACATATGAGTGTACGCATCTTAATCATTTTCAAACAAAAAAAAGAGTAAAATGTACACACACATATTAGTAGTGAACATTTATTCACCAGATATTAACAATATTTGAAAGCAATAACGTCTTTTAAAATAATGTTTTATTAGTATAATGGTTTGATAAGATGTTTTTTTCTTTATTTACACTACCTGAGCAAGTTGCACAAAAGCATAAAAATGAATTTTATTTATAAAGAACATAGGTCTTATTAATAAATTAGTGTTGTGTTATTGACCCATATATTACTTTTAATTTTTTTGGGCAGGTAGCGTTTAGGACTTTTTATTTATGTATTTTAATGGAATTTGACTTGCTAGTGTTCATGTCATCAGTTGTGATGGATCCAATGCATTTTGATGATTTTGTTTAGCATAACGAAGATCTGATGAGTCAGAAAACCTAATTTACACTTTTCATTTCAATGACTATGTTTGGACACTCAGAGGTTTTTAATGTTTTTTTAGGTCCTTGTAATTGGAATTATGACTGTTCTTGCAGCTAAGTTTCCCAGTCCTTTCCTAGTAAGTTGTCTATCAAAGCCATAATAAACTTATCAGTGTTTTTGGAAGTTATGCTGAGCATCAACAGTTTATATTGTTTGTGTTGTACAGCTGGTCATCACAGTGATTCTGAATGTAGTCAGTGCTGCACTGGCAATCACAGCTGCTGTGCTGTATTCAGTGGACCTGGCAACTGGAAATGATCTATATTGTGACACCAGTTATTACTCGTCTTCCGACTATGCTGTAACACCTTCCCCTGAACAGATGAGGAGAACCGAGATCTGTGTGAAGTACAAGTATCTCAATAAGGTAATGTTTAATTTTTCGTTTTATTTATTAGATTGTGTAGGATCAAATTACTAAAGTTGGGGAAGCGATTTTAGTTTGTGGTTTCACAAGCTATTGGTAATTCAAAGATATTGCATGAATCTAATCTTTTGTAAAAGTACTTGAAGTTAGGAGGTCATATATTATAAAAATAAGTAACTTCAATCACAGCCATATCACCCTGCAGCCCAAGACTGGTTGCCCACTGAAGCTCAGCAGGGTTGAATCTGGTCAGTACCTGGATGGGAGACCTCCTGGAAAAACTAGGTTTCTGCTGGAAGAGGTGCTAGTGAGACCAGCAGGGGGTGCTCACACTGGTCTGTGGGTCCTAACGCCCCACTGAATCAAAAACGGCGAGGGTTCTTGAATTATATTGTTTCAGATTGAATTAGAGTGGATGTTTGTACTGTATTTCATATAGGCCTTATCGACCTTTACTTCCCTCAAATGTTTAGATAGCACCTCCTGACTATAGTTTAAAATGCGTACAAGTTTACATTATTTATCTCCGTTCAAATCTGACCTGAGATGGAACAGGTTTTCACCCCAATCTGACATTTAAAGCAATAGTTCACCCAGAAATGAAAATTTGCTGAACATTTACTCACCCTCAGGCTATCCAAGATGTAGATGAGTTGGTTCCATCATGGGAACAGATTTTTAGCATTGTAGAAATGTAGCATTACATCACTTGCTCAGCAATGGATCCTCTGCAGTGAACTTTCTGTAGTTTTCTGTGGAGTTGCCATGTGTATATGTAAGCATTATTTGATGGCTGGGCTTACATTTAACTACATTTGCTGCCACTTCTGACACTGACAAGATTATTATTAAAAAAAAAAATTTTGATTGTATAATCACAGCACCTTATATAGCATCATAAAATAAACTGGCATTTCTTTTGCTATAATTTTTGTCTTACTGTCCTTCTTATTACAAGACTTATTAAAGACAAAAAAAAAATACTGATCTGAGTTGAAATTATTTTTGTGAGAAGACATGAAATAATACTAGCTCAGTTACACGTGCTTCCTCCCGCACTTTAAACTCAACCCGTTGCAGTCTGTCAGTCATATAATGACAGTCAATAGGCTCCACGGCTTTGAGAGTAAAAAAAAACATACATAGACAAAACCAAATTAAACCCTGCGGCTCGTGACGATACATTGAGGGTTTAAGACACGAAACGATCGGTCTGTG